GGGGCAAAGACACAGGCAGAGGGAGAAGCAGACTCCTCACAGGGAGCCCGATGTGGGACTCGATCCCAGGACCCCAGGGTCACGACCTGAGCCGAAGGCAGATGCTCACTCACTGAGCCACCCAGGTGCCCCCAAAAGAGCTTATTTCTAAACAAAAGATTGAACCCCGAGTAGCATGGTTCCATGTTCCCCATTTGCCAAAAGAAAAAAACATCTTTGAGAAGCACGAAACAAGCAAAACCAAGAGTTCCACCTTATGTAAAACCACCCTGTGCATACCACACTTGTGAGTGGGCAATGCTCTGCGTGGGTACCAAGGTCTGCAGAAGCAGGTGGCACATCGTGGTGTGTGGTGGCATTGACTGCACGATTGGGCTGAAAAAATAGCACAAAATGAGCAGTGCTATCTATGAATATCTCTGCAAATAGCATCAATAAAATAATAAAATTTAATTCTAAGGCTCATTAAAATAATAATAAGCCATGGCCAAGTAGGATCTATCCCTTAGGAATGCAAGGATAATTCAAACTAGGACATCTATTCATTGAACTCACTGTGTTAATAATTTAAAGAATAAAAATCATATCATCGACTACAGAGAAGCTAAAATGGCATTTTAAAAAAATTCAGCAGAGGCGCCTGGGTGGCTCAGTAGGTTAAGTGTCTGACTTGATCTTGGGTCAGGTCTCAATCTCACGGTCCTGAGTTCAAGCCTCGCAACAGCCTCTGTGCTAGGCACAGAGGCTACTTTTAAAAACAGAAATTCAGCATCCATTCCTGATTAAATTTTGAAAACACTTACCAATAAGTGGATATTTTCTTCTTATAATGAGAAAGGATATCTTAAACCAAAAAGAGTATCAAACCTGACAAGAAAAACCGGAAACCTTCTCACCATGTCCCGGCCATGGTTACAAGTCAACCTAAGGTGCGCTGAGGACCTGCAGTTGGATACGGTAGTCTACGGGTAACACCCCTGATCGTACTCAGTAGACATTAGAATACAGTAAGCCCGGGGTGCTCGGGTGGCTCAGTTGGTTCAGGGTCTAACTCTTGATTTTGGCTCAGATTATGATCTTAGGGTCCTGGGGTTGAGCCCCACTTAGGGCCCCCTGCTCAGTGAGGAGTCTGCTTGAAATTCTCCCTCTGCCCCAACCCCGCTCGTGCACACATGCTCTCTCTCTCTCTCTCTCTCTCTCTCTCTATATATATATATATATATATATATATATATATATATATCTCAAATAAATAAAATCTTAGAATTCAGTAAGTCAACAAAAAGTCATGCAGCATCCAGTCTGTACCAATTCTATGAACCAGGTAAGTATGCAGTTTCTGCTGTCAAGGTAATTCCTTGCTGGTCAGGGAGAAAGATGTAGATAGACATGATAGATTATTGCTGGATGGATGGATGGATAGATAGATAGATAGATAATAGACAGGTAGATAGAGATGGATGGATGGGTGATAGATATGACACAGACTCAGTAGACGAGGCAGATGGATGTGATAGATGATTGACAGACATGATGAATGACTGGCAGACAGCTAGAAAGACAGATGGACAACCCAGAGAAGGCTGTCCATGACAGTGATGCACGAAGATGCAGCAGGTGCCATCTGGATGGGAGGGTGAGGGAAGGAGACTCTGAGGAGCCGTGTGGGCAGCATGAGCAGGGTGAGGAGGTGGCCACTCGGGGAGAAGGACAGGGTGGTGTGTCTGGGAGGAGAAACAAGTGGACACCCCCAGGAGGGCCTGGCCGCAGTCAGAGGCTCTGAGCAGCAGAGACACAACTCGACCTGATTTCCACACGAAGGACGTGCCTAGCTGCTGTGTGGATGGCACATTCCAGGAAGTGGGGTGTAAACACCAGATCCTAGCCAGGGACTGTGGTGGCCATCCAAGTGACAGGCAGGATCCAGGAAAGACCCCCGCCGCCCCCACAGGAAGCCCCTAGTCTGTGCGGGTCATATTTTTCAGTCCTCAGGACATGCTCTGCGGGAACAGGCCAGCCCGCATGGCAGCCCCCTGGCTGCAGGGTGGGCGTCCACGGGCAGCCTGGGACCCGAGGCCCTGCTCTGTTCTGCCTCATGCCCGGTGGCGCTTCTGCAGGTCCCTGCAGCCCCTTCCCATCCCCGTGGGTGCTCCGTGGACAATGCGTGTGCCCACTGTCCTCCCTGCTAGTCACCCACCCACTATTTCTGTCACAGGAATGGTCACTTTACGCAAACCTGAGTCACACAAGTTGCATTTATCACCCGGGCTCTGTCCTGACACAGCCGCGGTGCCTCTCATCCTCCCCATGGCCTCCTTCCAACCCTCAGGACCTGCACTGACCTCCGGGCCTTTCCAGCCGACAGCTCCCCTCCTCACCGGCCCCCAGGGAGGCAGGCAGGCGCCCTGCAGGTGGCACGTGCGGAGCAAGCCTGAGGCAGGAGGCTCGAGGCCCAGGGAAGGCAGCCAGGGGCAGGCAGGCCCGAGCTGGTGGGACACGTGTCCGACTGGTCCGGGAGGGGCTGTCATGCAGGTGATTCAGGCTTTAACCATCTTCGCCGAGGCCAGAATCTGCCCGAAATGGTTTTAAGCAGCAAGTGAAGCTGTGCATTTGGGTTTCCTGATGCTGAAGGGAAGGGGCCCTGACTCCTGAGAAGCCACAGGTGCCCCCGTGCAATGAGGCTGGAGAACAGAAGACAGAGGAGGGGCTGCGCCGACCGGGGTGGCGCAGCTTCCTGGGTTCACCTGAGAAGGGGCCAGAGACTCAGCGGCTTCACTCTGCACAGGGAGTGGAGTGGCAGGAGGGCAGCTGGGGGCGAGGACCGTCAGGGAGGCCGCCCCGCCCAGGGATTGCAGAGCCACTGTAGGCACCATGGCCTGCGGGCATCACAGGGATGACCGTATGTGGGATGAGGAGCCCTCTACAGTCCCTGCCGCCCTGCTGGCCCTGGGGGACTGAGCTGTGTCTCAAAGGGCCTCCCGTGGCACCAGCAGCCTCTCGGGGGCTCGTCAGAGAGCAGAGGCCCCCCTGGCCACCCCAAGCAGGGGCTGGAGCTGCTGGAGAGACCAGCTCAGGGGGGCAGGCTGGAGGGCAGGGGTCCTGAAGGGCTGGTGACTCTGCCCGTCCCCGCCCTCCATCCTTGCTGTGCTGCAGGCTGGGATGTGTCTGCCAGCCCTGTGTCGTGCTGCCAGGAGCCCGCATGGCCCGCCAACTCCTATGCTGAAGCTGCAGCTCCCAGCACCTCAAGATGTGACTGTGCTTGGATACAAGGTCTTTACAGGGGTGATTAGGGTCCAACGAGGTCACCGGGGTGACCTAATCCCACCTGTCTGGTGTCCTTACGAGAGATCAGGCCTCAGACACACACAGAGGGATGACCAGTGAGGACACAGGGACGGCGCAGCTCGGAGCACACAGCCCGAGACACCTTGTTCTCGGACTTCTGCCTCCAGGGTGCAAGCCAACCAGCTGCAGTGTGGCAGCCGCCCTGTCTGCGGGCTTCGTTACACAGCCTGAGCTGACCCGCACATGTGCCAAGAGGCTGGAGGTGGGGCCAGGGATGCAGTGGGCACAAGGGACTGGACCCCAGCCGCCCCTTTGGTCCTGGGACGAGAAGGCCCAATCACCGCCCCATCCAACGAGTCATCAGATGGTGTCTGCTGAAGGGAGCCACAATGGACAAGCTGCCAGAGGGGAGACCCTGAGCAGGGATTCTGGGTATATTATAAAGCAGGAGACTGAGCTGACCTGTCCTGTAAATTATGTTCTCCTGGGGCAGGAAGGGAGACTGTTGAGTTTGTTCTGTTTCTACCGTACCCCTCCAGGTGGGGGGGGGGGTCAGAAGTGCACCTGCGGGGCACCTGGGGGCTCAGGTGGTGAACCATCTGCCTTCAGCTCAGGTCACGACCTCAGGGTCCTGGGATCGAGTCCTACATCAGGCTCCCTGTTCCACTTCTCTTTCCCCCTCTGCCTCTCCCCCTGCTCACTTGCTCCCTGTCTCTCAAATAAATAAAATCTTAAAAAAAAAAATAAGATGAAGAAGCAGAGTGTGCCTGTAACCACTGAGGTGAGTTGGGGTCTGTTTTCCAGCAAGGCCTGTGCTCCTGCACCCATCCAAGGGCGGAGAGCAGGCCCCACTCCCCCTGCACACAGGGACATAGGAAAGAATACTTCTAATCCATCGATTCTGCAAATCGGGATGAGCGCTCGCTCTGTGTTATCGTCTCACGTGTCTGTGTGTAGCACATGCTGTGTGCGTCTGTGTGGCGCCCTCCAAGGGACAGCTGTGAGCACCCCCTCAGCCGAGGTCCGGCGGCTGAGTGAGCAGTGGGGGCAGGGGGAACTAGGCCGCAGGGGACCGGTATGTCCAGATCCCAGTGGTGAGTGATGGGCAGGGTGAGGGCAGGGGGGCAAGGCCAGGTGGAGGCCGGGGCTGGTGCAGGACCCTGACAGGCCTCCTCGTGCTTTTTGCAAAGACAGCATGCAGGCCTTGGCTCCCCCAATGCACCAACACCTTTAGGAGACATGCACTGGATCTTAGAGACATGAGCACGCGGCCTGGGAAAGTCCGGAGTTATGAGGGCGGTGTCCCCACAGCCTTTCACTTTCCCGGCCACAGCCCCTAAGGTTTGCTTCGAGGAAGAAGGGGGTGGGGGCTCCGGGGAGGAGTCTCTTTATTAAAGCACGTGGGTTCCTCAGTTGTCCACATCGCTGACGTGAACTGAGTCCCCAGTGGTGTCTCAGCAAGTCCATGACGTCCCCTGAAGAGCCAGTACAAACACCTTTTTCCCAAATTCCAATAGCTGGACATGAACCGGCTCAAGCGCTCAGGTGCAAACACGTCCTGGCAGGTGCGGGAGGGCCCTGCTCCTGGGCCGCACAGTCCCCACCTGGGACTTCTGTGGGGACCCCAGCTCTGGGAGACGGGCCACTCTCCCTGTCCCAGGCACCCGTTGCTGCAGCAGGTGTGCAGCTCCCCTGCCCGGGGCCGAGGCCCCACGTCATCCAGAGAAGTTCTGAAAGATGTTGGCTGCCTCCACCCAGTTCTGGAAGCAGGCCAGCCCCTGCTCCCGGATCTGCTTGCGCCCTTTGTCGGTGATGACCTCCCCACTGGGCTTCACAACCACCAGCCTAGGGATGACCGAGATGTGGTACATGGTCCTCAGCTCACTGTGGAGAGAAGAGGCAGGGCCAGGTCAGCCAGAGGCCGGGCAGGTGGCCACACACATGACTGAGGGACCAGGGCCTCCCCGACCCAGTGGACCCAGTGGACCCTCAGCGGCCGGTGCTAAGCCAGTGCTTCCCAGAGGACCATCCACAGGGAGAAGCCACTCTGGGCCTGAGCTGCCCGCACCCTCGCCATGGCTGCCTGGGACCACGCAGCACCCGAGAGGTGGTGGCGAGTCTCAGAACATGAATTTTTCATCTCAGTTAATTTAAATTGAAGTAGCTACATGAGGCAGACATCTACCGTATGGGACATGCAATTCTAGACACACGAAGACCCCAACAAATTTACATCCCTCCTACATTCTAGATGTGGAAAAATACCAGGCACACACAGTGGTCAAAGATAGAACTCCGTGAGTTCTACATCAATGCAAAGCCACGTGAGACTTTCTGCCCAGCAAACTCAAGGACACACTGATTACAACACATTTCGGGGTGCCTGGGTGGCTCCGTGGTTGAGTGTCTGCCTCCAGCTCAGGTCATGATCCCGGGGTCCTAGGATCGAGTCCCACATCGAGCTCCCACAGGGAGCCTGCTTCTCTATCTCTGCATCTCTCATGAATAAATAAATAAAATCTTTTTTTAAAAAAAAACAACATATGATACATTTCTTGGCTACTTTTTCCATTGTGTGCAACCCAGTGAGTGACCTTTTTACAAAAGTTCTTGTGTTCATCCAGGGAAAGGAGTATCCACCTTCTTGGCTCCTCCCCATAACCTTCACCTGGATTACTGTCCTCAGAACAGGGCAGCCGATGAAAATCCCTCCCTGTCTCCAAGGCCAGCCCCCACGGGCCTCCCAGTGACAGTAATCTACCCGAGTTCCCTCACTTGTCACCTCCAAGACTGTGAATCTTCACGGAAGGACAAACACATGTGAGACCCTCCTGTTACCAAATCTCCCCACAACATCTCCATCACGGCCCTCCTGCGGCTTTCCACACCCAGATCAAACACAAAAGTGCAAATCAAGCAGAAAAAAAATACATCCTACCTCCACCCAACAAAGAGACGGCCTTGTTTTCAGGCATCTGTGAGATAGTGATGAAACCAGCATGCTCTCCACCACAATGGGATCTCAATACAGTGCAAATAATCAATAGCACACAGACCATTTAATCGGACCCTAAAGGCACAGAAATGGGAAACCGATACGAAATAATTTTTAGAACGGGTTTAAAAACTAAATAACCGGGGATCCCTGGGTGGCGCAGCAGTTTGGTGCCTGCCTTTGGCCCAGGGCATGATCCTGGGGATCTGGGATCGAGTCCTGCGTCGGGCTCCCTGCATGGAGCCTGCTTCTCCCTCTGCCTGTGTCTCTGCCTCTCTCTCTCTCTCTCTCTCTCTCTCTCTATGTTTATCATGAATAAATAAATAAACTCTTAAAAAAAACTAAATAACCATATGTTACACATGGAACAGCAACACCAACGACAATGTAATTAAAAGAACTACACGGGATACACTCTGGAAGCCAAGCCGTAGACTCCATTAGACATAGGAAGTTATGGCCTCAACACACTTTCCTGAACGACAAGCCTCCATGTAGACGAGCTGTGTGCTTGACCCCACAGGCAAACACGGCCCATTGCAGCAGACACCAGGAAAGGCCTAGTGTGTGGGAATCGCCAACAAACAAACCAAAGCTGGTCCCAGGGGGTAGCAATCAGAGCAGGACCAGGGCTGCTCATGGAGAGGGAGACGCGGGAGCCTCAGGAATCAGGCGGTGGCCAGGCATGGCCCAAGGTCACGGCTGTAACACCCATGGCTGCCCTGAGCACTCCTTCCCCAAGGAAACCCACACTCAGTGAGCCGCCACCCCAGCAGCTCCTGGAAGCCGGCCCACACAGCATCCCTTGCACTCTCATGTGAGGAGGGAAAGAGGTCAGCTTGGTGCAGAAGTGATCACCGTCAGTGAGACGCACACTGAGGCTGACAAACCAATGCCCAGACACGGAGAGACCCCACAGGCCTGCACACACAGGGTGGGGGTGTGACCCGGGAGATGGGGGGGGACATGTCCCCCTCCAAGGTTTGCAGACTCCTGCACAACCCCCAAAATCTGAAATGCCTAAGAAATCAGCTTTATCCCAAAACATAAAACAAACACAAAGGAAAGAGTCACCCAGCAGCCCTTGGCAGGAACCGGCCCGTGGCCCCCGGGCACTTTGTCCCCCAGCTCGGGCAGACGGGGTACATGGAGGCCTCAACTCTGGGCAGCACAGCAGAGCACACAGCGTGTACCGAGTCACAAATTCCCGCTGGGGCTGTGCCTCCCAGGGCCTGGGGCTGAGACCCTAAGACTAGGGGGAGGCCTGGGGGGCTCCCGGAGGGTGTTGAGGGACCTCCCGGCGAGCCCACATGCATTCCTGACTCCGCGTGTACACCCCTGCCGGCTCACCATGGCGCAGCATGTGCACAGCAGCACTGCTTTGCGTATAGGGGCTCCGGAGTAGCAGCAGTGCCAGGGAGCCTCCTGCCCCTGCAGGTGGGGGTGGACCCCGCAGCCCCAGGGTCCCTGCCTGCCCGCCCTCGCCTGCCAACCTGCCCGTCTTCCAGGGTCTCCTGGGAGGGAGGCTGAGAACCGTGCCCTTGACAGCCTGGGGCGTGGAGGCCTGCGGCTCACTGCCCAGAACCCAGAGCTCTGCCTTTCCTGGCATGAATCAGCTGAGGGACTTGGGCAAGCTGGACAGCCTCCCCCTGCCCCAGGGTCCTCGCCTGCACCTGGGGAAAACAGAACCCACCTCCCTGGGTTGCTGGGATGATGAGATGGCACATATACTTACAGCCCAGCTAAGGGATCAGCACACTAATGCTCAAAACACGCTGGCTGTTACTGATGGGGAGGCTCGCCTCCAAGTCCAAGTGGGCCAACCGTCCCATGCAGTACAGGGGGTGACACTAACCAGTCCTGGGATGGGTACTGAGCACACTGAGAACCCATGAGACTCCCCAGAGCACCTGTGTGGGTGCCAGGAAAGAGGAAGGTGTGAGGGTGTGCAGCCTGAGACACAGCAGCCACTCTGCCACCCTGAGGAAAGACAGGATTTGCCAGGTGACATTGGGGCTGCAACCTGAGCATGAAGCAGGCAGAGCAGAAAGCAGAGCCACGCAACGGCCTCACTGGCCTCCCCACTCCCTGGAGACCACCTCCTGGCTGCAGGGTGTGTAAGTTCAGCTGATCTGATCAACAACCTTGACTATCCAAGCGCTGAGCTGTGGCCTCCTGAAATCAGCTCTGATGCCCAGGAGGGGGGCACGCAAGGCAAGCCAGGCTTAGGGGAGGGAGCTGGAGTCTGGAGTTGACATCTGCTCCAGGATATCTTCAGAGTCAGCCGCATAGGCCCTCCAGTCACCGCCCTGGCAGCCTGTGCCTGGGGACAACCGTAACCTTGGAGCCACCCGGAGGGCCACGGAAGCATCTCCACGGAAGCATCTCTACCTCCTCTGGCACTGTGTCCCCAGGGAAGGGGTGTGCCTTGGCAGGAGGGGGGGGGACCTGGCTGCTCCCTGCCCTCAGCACTGGTGAAGAAGCCCTCCCATCACCGGACACAGTAGACACAGCAGACACATTGGGTCCTCCTCCCTGGCACAACTCCTCCTGGGTTGCCATGGCAATTCTGGCTCCAGCCTCTTCCCATCCCTCGAGTCACCCACGCACCTAAGCAGCAGCCCACAGGGCAGTCCGGGTGGCTCAGCGGTTTAGTGCCACCTTTCAGCCCAGGGCATGATCCTGGAGTCCCTGGATCGAGTCCCACATTGGGCTCCCTGCATGGAGTCTGCTTCTCCCTTTGCCTGTGTCTCTGTCTCTCTCTCTCTGTGTTTCTCATGAATAAATAAATAAAATCTTTAAAAAAAAAAAAAAGAAGCAGCCCACTGGTGCCCTGAACAGTGTCTGCCCCAACCCTAAGGACCACATTGGCGCTCCTGGCTGGGGATGGCGCTGGGTGCAAGAAGAGCACAGGAATGCCCCCAGGGCCCCAGGGGCTCGGAGGAGGAGTAGGGGCCACCAGGCGGGGACATGGGGGCTCCAGGGTCGAGGGTTTCCCACCTTTGGGAGTAGGAAAGGCATGGGGTGTCCCTGAACAGCAGCCGCCCAGTCTGGCCAGAACACAGGTGCAGAGGGGGTAAGAAGAGGCCAGGGCAGGACAGGGACTGAGCCCCCGGGGCAGGGGCCTGGGGAGCCGGGGTCGCCCTGGGGCAACCACACCTGCCTTCAAGAAGAGGAGGTGGGTTCTGGAGGCTGAGGCTGGGGGCATGGGTGAGAATATTCCCATGGTCCAGGGCCTAAGGGAGGGAAGCGGCAAGGAGGAGAAACTCAGACCTAGTGGATTCGGTGGCTATGGAGACAGGCTGAGTCAGGAGGCCCGGGGGAGCCCAAGCACCAGGCAAGTGAGAGGGCAGGGAGCACGGGCCCCTTGGCCCCACCGAGTGGACGAGTGGACGGCTCTAACGGAGCCACCCTCCTCTTGAGACATAAAGCCACGGCCACCTGTCTCCTCTATCCTCCTTGCCCGGAGGCTGAGGCGTCGCGTCCACCTGGCCCACGGTGGAGGCAGCAGAGCCAGGGCGGACTGGAGGCAGAGGGTGGGGTGGGGAGGATCACTGAGGCCTTCTGGGGGCCTGGAAGAGCCCATGGGGGCACTAGTGTTATTAAGAAACAACCAGAAAGTACATGAAAATCACCATTAAGCGGGTCTCGCACGCAGAGGCTGTCGCTTGGGTGCCAGGCAAAGGTGAGGGAAGGCGCAAAGGATGCCCCATCCTCGTTGCTGCCCCCACATTCAGGCTGTGCACTCCCTGCACACAGGCGCGGGCTGTGGGGATGGTGAGCAAGAGTGTGTCCAGGCAGAGGGTGTTGTGGCCCTGCAGCCATCTGCCTCCCAGCCCTGCTCCGGGCACCCCCGTGGGGCTCTCAGGTGAAGCCTCCTCCTCCTCCTCCCAGGACTCGGTGGTCAGCAGTCATCCAGTGGGTGGCCACTGACCATGACGGCCCACCGGGCCCAGGCAGCCGCTGCGCTGTCCTGGCTGCACTTCCCCAGGGTGCAGAGCGCTGTGTGCACTCGCTTCGGGAACCTTCCCAAAAGGCCGCCTGCATGCAGCCTGCATTCCCTAGTTCTCCATGCTGGTGGCAGTTTCCGGGTTGTTACAACCTGATTCTGAGTATCCAGGTGGACTGAGTGGAACTTAGGGCGCAGGTCCAAATATTCCCATGGAACAGCCTACTTCCGAGCACAGAATCACAAGGAGAACCCATGAGGGGCCGTTTAGAAAGCAGAAGGACAAGGAGCTCCCCTTTCCAGAAAGAAAACCAATGCTGGAATCTTCCAGAGACCAGGCTGGCCACCTGGCCCTGGGCTGCTCAGCTGCCTGCAGTAGATGCAAGGCTTTGCCTGCATAACAGGAACAGCGGAGGAGGCTGGCCACACCCTCCCCACCCCCACCTTGGGGCCAGGAGCTGCTGGGCTGAGGATTGGGTTTCCTGGAGCCCCCCATCTCTCCTGGGAGGAAGAGGAAACGCCAGAGCAGAAAGTCAGGTTCTTCCTCGGCGCCCCACAACACATCTGTGAAATGGGCACACTACCACCACCACGGCTACAAACTTGGGCTCTGGGGCAGCCCCCACACCTCACAGGGCGTCCTGACTGTGGGCTGGGAAATGCCTCGACTACATCCCCCATTGCAGCACCCAAAGTCCCAGAGCTGGCCGCCTGGACCCTCCGCCCAACGCCCAGCATGGCCACCCGGTCACTTTCAAAGCGGAGTGTGTTGCTTCAACAGCTGCACAGAACTTGAGAGCTGAGCATGTCAGAGGCATTTGGCTTCTGCCGCTTGGGGAGACCCTGCAGTGAATCCGTGGCCTGTAACCCCCTGAATCCTCCTCACTAGGTTGCCACGTCGGTTCATTTCCACTGCCGTGCACAGCAACCACAGTAGGACTCTCCTGGGGTGCGGGCTCCTCCTGGGAGGCCTGAGGCTCTGCTCCCCCTTGGTATCACCCACCCCTGTGTCTATGGGGAGGACCACTCGCCTCTGGACCTGTCCAGGGCCGGCTGCCATTTCTAACTGTCCACAAGGACTGTGGTCAGGATGGTAGAGGGGACCGGTGTGTGTGTGTGTGTGTGTGTGTGTGTGTGTGTGTGTGTGTGTTTGTGTCACACCACGTCTGAGTAATAGCCCCCAGAGACATGAGAAACATGCCCCGTAACTCACACCCAGAAACCCACTCCCCATCCATTACAGGGATCCATTACCACACCTTGTGAAGTGCAACGCACACCCAAGTCTGGAGGCTGTCCCCGCAACACAGACCCCAACGTACAATCCGAGCCCTGCCACAGGCCTGTGCCCCTGTGCTCTCCCTCCTCCCCCTCCTCCCGCCCACCTCCTTTATCTTACCTTCTCTGTTTCTCTGTCCTCCCTCCTCCAGCCCACCTCCTCCCTCCTCCCCCCCTCTCAGGCAGGTCCCCGCTCCCCTGGGTGAGCTCCCCTAGGTGAATTTTCGAGGCGCCCAGCATGAACTCCCCTGCAGCTCAGCAGTTTGGAAATCCCAGGGGAAGCGGGTTCCTCTGGCCTTGGGGTCCCTGCCCGCCTGGGCACGCGGTCCCCAGCCCCCCCCCCCCGACGGCCCGGTGCACCCGGCAGCGCACAGAGGATCCCCAGCTCCGACCCGAGCCCCCCCCCCCCAGGCCCCTCCGCGTTCAGCAGACGCGCTGGTTGGGAACGCAGAGCCCCGAGGCAGGCCCGGCTCCCCAGGCCCCGCCGGACCACGGGGAGGCTGGAGCCGGGAGCAGCGAGGGTGGACGCGGCCAGTCCGGGGCGGGGCGGGGCGGGGCGGGGCGGGTCTGGGTCTAGCCCCGCGCACTCACTGCCGGAGGGGGTCGTGGAAGGGCAGCGCCAGCCAGGCGCCGTGCAGGCGGCGCATGAAGTCCAGCATCTCCCGCGCGCTGCCGTCGGCGGACACGAACACCACCTGGAAGGGCGCGGGCCGCCGCGCCTCGGCCAGCAGCTGGGCGTGGAAGCGGCGCAGCAGCGGCGTGAAGTCGCGGCTGGACGCGCACCCGCCCGCGGCGAAGTACAGCGCCACCACCTTGTTCTGCAGCGCAGCGTCCGCCTCCACCCACGCGCCGTCGCGGGTCAGCAGGCGCCGGCCGCCCAGGACGTCCACCATGGCCGGGGCGGTCGGGCACCTGCAGGGGCGGGCGCACAGGCTCCTGCGGCCGCGGCACCTGCGCGGCGGACACCTGCGCGGCGGACACCTGCGGGGGGCGGGGGCGGGGATGCAAACAGGTGGTCACGTGCGCTGCCCGCGCTGCGCGGGGACCTGGGCCCCCAGTGGCTCCTCGTCCCGGCCTCGGCCTCTGGGGGGTCAGGGGCGTGCGCCCCGGGGACTGGAGGGACATTCGCAGACACCTGCGACCCAGAAGCAGCGGCCGCGGCGGCAGCTCTCGCCCCCAGGAGGCCGCCCTCCCGGGAGCTCGGAGCTCGTCGGCTCTCCGGCCCGCCCCTCGTCACCCTGCGCCCCCGGCCGGCCCCGCAGCTGCCTCCCACCCCCGCTCGGGCCCGCCCCGCCCCGCCCCGCCCCATCCATCCCCAACCCCGTGCCACCGCGGTCCCCTGCGCGCCCACACCCGCCCCGCGCTCCCCTGCGCCCCGGGTCGCCACTTCTTAAGCTCTCCCCACCCCGCGCTCCTGCCCCAAGCATCCAGGCGGCCCAGGAGGTGACAGTATTGACGCAGCAGGAGCGCTAGAGGCCCTGGGGAAGCAGCAAAGTCCTCTCAGCTCTGCCTGGGCAGGGGTGCGAAGCGGCGGGGCGCAGAATTCAGGGATTTAGGTGCGGGCGAAATGGGCGCCCCACGCCGGGGGACGCACCTGCTGCAGGGACGCAGCGCCCGGCGGAGGGTCTGTCCAGAGGGTCTGGGGGACCCGTGCTGCTCCCAGCGGCGCGCTGCCGACGCCTAGATTCGCTGTGGAAGCGTAAGATCTGGGGAACCGGAGAAAAAAGTTGAGAGGGGGCCCTTGCTTGTGTGGAAGTCTGACTTTTATCAGAACGGAATGCCCCTGAATTCTAAATGTCGCCAAGACTATTCTGAGCTGTTTGACCTCTTTTTTCTTATCTCAACAGTAAGCAAAGTAGGGAACATTCCTTTTAGTGACACCCTCCCACGGGGACATGTCCAGCTACTGGTGTAAATGCTGTCTAGTGCTATGGGAGCCTTCCTGCGACCCTGTGTGCACCCGGGTGGCTCTGCAGGGAGGGGACATCTGGGACACCCCCCCTCCCCAGGGGACCCTCCTCATCCTGAGTGTGTGTGTGTGTGTGTGTGTGTGTGTGTGTGTGTGTGAAGGAAGGGACCTGTGCTCCAGAGCTCCTGCAGAGAAGAGCAAGGGACCCCGGGCCAGTACAGCTCATGCACCTGCAGCACCAGACTGAGGGACTCCTCAGGGCCCTTCCGTCACATGAGCCTGTGTCTCTGGCCACCACCCCATCCCACTGGCCACTCCTTAAGATGGGACGGGGCTACAGTTGCCATGAGAGGCAAGCCCAGCACCCTCTCCAGCCTCTGCTGGGACCAAGTCTCCTACACAACTTCCTCCAACCAACCAAGAACATCCACAAGTGGAGTCCTAGAAGCCAGATTTGGTGACCTCTAATCCCAGCTGGGACGTAGTGACTGCTCATTCTGGAAGCCCTCCTGGGCATGTATGGAGGGGGCATGTACCAAGGCTCCTGAGCACAGGCATCAGCTAATCCGATTTGTGTGCCCTAGATAATCACAGCCCAGCAGGACAGTGCTCCCTGTCCTCGGGCTTGTGAGCAGCCAGGCGAGGGCCTTCTTGGGCCTGCCCTCCACACCTGCTGCCCCAGAGCCGTCTCCCTGCCCTTTGCCATCCTCTGAACAGTCCATGACCTCTGTCCCACCCTACCACCCATGCCTCACCAAACTGAAGCAGGGTCTTCTCTGCACTTCCTCCTCTGGTGACCACACTCCCCAGAGCCCTCCCCTGGCAGTCTTCGTAAGGAATCCAGCGAATTTATCCCCCCTCCTGGGGCGGATCGCCCAGCCTACATTCAGTAACAATCCCCTGACCTTGGGGTCTCCTCTCTGCGGCTTGGGGGCCCCTGGCCCCAGTGCACTCTCTCAGTCGGCCATTAACCCCAACCCCACCTGTATCCAGAGTGGAGCTTAGCTCCCTCTCCCTCCTCCCCACAGGAGGACTGCGCATAATCTGCCCGCTGCCCTCAGCCCTGGCTCGGCCTCCCCGCAGCTCAGTGACCAAGGGCAGAACGTTTGCAGAGCGACTGCAGAACGCCGGCTGCTGGCACAGGGTCTTCAAAGCCTCCCCGGGGAGAAAGCTACGGTATGATCCCGGCTCCGCCAGCCTGCCTTAGCGCGCAAGCTCCCCGCACGCACGTGGGGCCAGCGTGCAGGCTCCGGGCGTGTGGGGACCAGGCTGCTCCTCAGGAGATGTCATGTTCTGAGCGGGAGTACTGGGGAAGCCCGGGCCAGCCTGCCCTCGGATGCCACATGCACTCTGCTCCTCCGTGCCAGTGGCTGGGCCACTGGACGTGAAACTGACTTTTTCTTTTCACTACAAGGTGCACACGTGAGGGCAATCCGCTTATTTCCACCGCTGCGTGGGAACACAGAATGATCTCCAGGGAAACTTTCTACTCTGATCAGCGCTGCAAACAAATTAGACATCCCAGTGTGCAAATACCACTGTCTGCAGTTCCTGGCTTCAGGTAGTCACGCTGGGGTTGTTTTCCCATATTTAAATATTTGTTCCTAGGGAATGATAGTGTGAAGTCTTCGGGACTCATTTTTTCTTTAATGTATTTGAGGGGCCCCTGGGGGTATCAGTGGTGGAGTATCTGCCTTTGGCTCAGGTCGTGATCCCAGGGTCTGGGGATGGAGTCCTGCAGGAGAGTCCCTCTGCCTGTGGCTCTGCCTCTCTCGTGAATAAATAAATGAGATCTTTCAAGAATTAAAATAATTTTAATCACATGAGACAAAAGCTCCATGCTATGCATGATAGTCTGAAAGTGCTGGACCTGGTGAGGCCCCAAGGCTTCCCATGGCTGACCCCATCCCCCCTGCCTGCCACCCTCCAGGAGGTGCTGGGATGATCCAAACACTTCCTTTCCCACCTCCCTCCCCAGTGCCTGCCCAGGGAGATGGAAGGCCCTCCCTGGAATGGTATATCATTTCCCCAACAGGAGGGGAATAAGAGCCCCTGCCTGGTGCTACCCCTTCTCCCTGACTTTGGATGCTAAGCAAGGACATGATGCCTGGAGCTGCTGCAGCCACCTTGAGTCTGTGAGGAGTAAGTCAAGAGAATTTTGGAGACACCTGCCTCATCCTCTGACATCAGCAGCTCCTAAAGCCCAATCAGCATTACAGTCCCCTGGAGGCTTACAGGTGGTTTGTGAGAAGAATAACCCCGAATTTCAGCAGTGTTCGGAGTCTGTTTTGCAGGACACTGGGAGACCCGAGGCCCGTTCAGATGGCTTGCAGGGTGGAAACTGTTTTCATGATGACACGGAGACCGTATCTGCCTTCTCGGGTGTATTGGCATTGGCACTGATGGTGCACAGGGAGCAGTGGGAAAATGCTGGCGCAACCTGAATCGGGCCAAGTGGCACCAAACCATTCTTAGCGGTCACCATCTTATCTCTTTATGTGCATTCCCGGTGAAAAAGCCAGTTTTACTTCATGTTGATGATGACACTGTAGAAGTTAATGATTGTGCACACTGTTCTTCAAACTTAACAGGGCCCCGGGAGGACGCTTCTCGGTGTGGCCTCAGGACGGCGGAAGGCCACAGACACGCAGGCTGTACGTTTCCCGACAGCCACTGAGCGGCCAGCAGAGGCCAAGCTCCAGTCCTGATGAGGGTGTAGAACCCAGCCCTTAACCTAAGGGGGGGTAGGGCATCGACCATGTGTACCTGATGCTTGACATCAGGCCCCTCTGACCTAGGGGGACCCCTGGACCCCCCCAGGCCACCGCTGCCTAGAGACAGACGCACATCCACCTACCCAGGCACCTCCTTCATCTGTGCTCTTCCCCGTCCGCCCTGAGCCCAGTGCCCAGCTCACTCCCCCAGCCTCACCGTCCCCGCACTGTGTCTGACCCCAACGCTACCTGTGTGACCCTCCCCGTGGCAGGGGAGGTGACCACATCCCCTCCATGGCATCATCTCATGACCCACTGGCCCCAGCACTCCTGAACAATGACACCTACCTTGTGAAACACCTATCTGTGCCTGTACGTGCGCAAGTGTGTGACAGTAGGCATGTGCACGCGCAGCCCATGATCCGGCAACTGAACGCTTGCCTCGGGTGCCCCAGGAGCCCCCCTGCGCCCCCCCCTGCCCCCACCTCAGCCCCGGAGCTCCCCACTCCCTGCAGCAGAGGTGTCCTCCCAGGGTGGCCGGGGTGGTGCCCAGAGCTTGGGGCCCTCTCTGGAGGGGGGTCCCACCTGCCCCATTCTCGAGAGGCACCCTGTCTCTCTGTAGCCTGTGGCCCCACCCCTGTGCATGAACCCAGAGACCTTGGCTCTTGTGTCCCACTGTCTGTCCTGTTTCAGTAAAACCGGCTCCAGAACAGGGAGCACACAAGGCCCACACAAGGGCCGTGGAGAATTGTGCATGGGTGTGGAGGGGGCTCTGCGGACACGAAAATGTCCTCCTCTCTCCATGCGGCCCTTGAGTAAAACCCGGTGTGCTGCAACTGTCCAGGACTGGATGGTTCTGTCGCTCATCATGTTGCCGTGTCCCCTCCCTCCCCATCCCCGGGAACTCCACTTAGGGCTCCACGGATTCCTAAGGGCCAGACTGACCCAGGGCCCCCTCCCTGGGGCTTGGAATCAGGCACCCCCCTCACCCCACATCTCCTGTCATGTTTGGGTAACGTCTCTGCTGGTTGTTGCTGTGAGTCCTTCCTGGGACAGGACAGGAGGTGGGTGACCGATCAGTGCCCCTGGTGACCCTGGGAGAGGTCAGGCCCTGGGATGCACTGAGAACCCTGCCCGGCAGCCCCGCCTCTGCCTTGCGCTGGGAGGTGCTTCCCCAGAGCCCACAGGGGGCCCAAGCTGTGGATGGCAGCGCCAACACTCGGGCGGGGATCTCGCTTGGTCTCACACGCGCCCAGGCCAACCCGGAGCC